AAGGTGGTTCATAAACAACATAATAACACTGTCTTCTGAGTCCAGCAATGCAACTAGTGGAGCACACTGTATACACCTTTGTTACACAGTATGTGTGTATTTGCGTTGTCGCGATTTTCTGCAGAAAAGTTTTTCAATAGAAAAGTTAATGCTACAAGAAGCACAGTACTGACTATTTTTTAATAGAGACTTATTGCCACTGCTGTTATTACACTTGTACAAGCAAAATTTGTTTTCTTATGTGGAGAAATTAAGTTTTTTTACATGTTTTTCCAAAAATGCAGCAAAATTTTTGTGACTCTGATATAGGAATTGCAACAAAAGAGTTCGCTCAGAACGCAGGAAATCGCATTTCCGAGGTCCTAGATTTCAAAATTTCCCGGGGGAGGATAACCCCGGACCCCCCTACAAATGCGAGGTCTTATGTATGCATCAATCAGCTCAGGAGCTGGATCCGCCCCTGCTGTCAGCATTCATGGTTTCAAGGCATTTAAATCTTGTCTCAAAACAGAAAGAAGATAAATTTCGATAATTTTATCAGTTTCATTATCAGTTAATTAACTTATCTCAACTGGTAAACTGTGCTCATTAGATGTGCTTCATTGGTGGGATCACATTCCAAGTAATTGAAAAAGTTTTCTCAAAGACTACTGTAGGCTTCACAGGAAGTTAGGAAGTGATGTTCCATTTCAACTTCTCCTGACTGCCAGACCTTGCATACTTGTTGCAGAATAAACAAAAGATGGACATTTTTCCCCCCGAAAGTGTCTGCCAGTATTTATATTATATAAAGCACAACTAAAGGCAATCATAGTTAATAGAAAATAAACATTGTTAGGAAGATTGGTAAACTACAAGTAGTTTCCTAACCAAACTTCAACTGATGTTGAAAACTTGAAATGTACCTGAAAGTACACAATTTGGTGATGAATATTAAAATCTTACAGTTGAAGTCTAAGGTTTCATTGGGCAATTGCTTCATTATACAGAACAAAATGTTCACTCGCTGTGAAAGAGCAGAAATTTTTATAAAGGTGGACAAAAACATAGAACTTACAATACCTTTTGTCCAGCTTCCAAATCATGTTTCTTTTCAGACTGCTAATTATGATGCAACTATTAATAAAGTTTAAAACCGCTTTCCAATTTTCACAAATTCACAGTCTTTCCTCACTTATTTCAATTACATCCTTTCCTCGGCTGCTTTATTATGGAAGGAAATCTTCTAGGACTGCCACAGCTTTTATATGGTACTATGGTTATTTAATAATTTTTAAATCTTATTTGTCCCCTTTGCAAGTCAGCCTTTAATTAATTTAAATTATACAGGATTTTGTCGACAACTCACCGAAAATTTTCCCACTTTTTGTTGCGGTCCCAGAAAATAAAATATTTTTTCCAACCCTTTTAAATTAATGCACAAATTATCTGCTTGACAAAAAATTGTATAATAAACTTGGGCAGATTGAGTGACAGTACTTTTCCCTTCACAAGTAAAATCCTCTGTAGTTGAATATACTAAAATAATAAAATCTGTTAAATGTACAGTAAACAAACGCTTTGTTTACATTTTGAACTGCTATACTTGTAAAATATGATATGCTAACTGAATATCTAACCAGGGCCGGCACTAGAGGGGGAGTGTGAATTAGATGGACATGGAAATATTTTGTCTGGAAAATTTTTTTGATGTTGTGCTTCCTTTGCCCCTCACTAACAATTTTGGGAAAAAAAATATTAATTAGTGATAATGTAGTGACTCAGCAAAATTTGACTTAATTGATAACTCTGCATTTGACTTCATAACTCTGCAAAATTCACTTATAACCTGCTCCCATTCAAAGAGATATAGTGCCGCTCTATATATAACACTTTTCTGGTTCGCTTAATGCTTGTAAATGAATATAAACTATGAGCTGAAAACTGATGTGCAAATGGACTTTACAGTATATTTAAGATGTGTGCAGTTGTATCTTGTTAAAACATCAATTATTGCAATTGACAATTTTACTTGCTTAATTTAATTATCATATGCAAGAGTCCTGCAAATATATTAAGTGGCACTTGTATTCAATTTTGGTTATACTATAAGCATTTGAAAGTTTTTTCAGGGACATACCGAGTGATATCTGGTTGGGGAGGGGGTGAACTAAATATTGAGACCCCTTACTCCCCCCCCCCCACCGCACACACCCAAGTGTACAATACATAGGAATGACAACTTGACTGAAATCTGTATGCATCAATTTACAGAATTGTGAATAGCCAATGCTCTCTGTTTCTCCAGTCAGTGTAAGGTCTTCTACCATGTATGCATAAATAGTTTTGTAGTTTAAATAACATGGAAGATGGATGGTTATGGTATCAGGCATTTTGTCTCCCATCGTCAAAAATGCTGTGTCCATCCATGCTTTTGCTATAAATGTCTTTGTCTTCCTCTTCTTTTTGGTTTGGCCATGAACAGTGCATTTTCCATTATGTTCATCAAGAAACCATCAAAATGATGACAAGATGGCGGACAGACAACATGCCCTAAAGCGCAGTGCGCAAAATCTCAACAATTCAGTTAATACTACGCCCATCAAATCGGTTCAAAGCAAAATCTCAAAACTTAATACCACACCGCAAAAGTCAGGAGAAAAAAGTAAGTCAATGGAAACGAAGTTAGATGAGTTACACAACATGATGAAAGTCAAGATGAATAAGCTCAATAGGCTGGAGTTAATCGAAGATTGTATAAAGAAAGTAGAGGATGGTTTTAATGATTTAAAAAACTCGATTAACTTCGCACACGCTGAAGCAGTCGATTTAAAGGAAGACAACAAAGTTCAGAAGATAAAAGGCGAAGAAATCCGCGCAAGAATAGAAAAATTGGAGCAAGAAAATACCGCATTAAACAATAGCGTTATTGACCTCAAAGCAAGGTCAATGCGTGACAATCTTATATTTTATAACATTGAAGAAACAGAAACAGAAAATACCACTGAAAAAGTCCACGGATTATTAGAAGAAAAGATGGGATTCAAGGACGCAGCTACGAAGATTAAAATTGACCGCTCGCACAGAATAGGAAGAGCAAGAAGAGATGGAAAACCACGACCTATCGTGGTTAAATTTAACTGGCATCAAGACAAGGAGCAGATTAGATTTAATGCAAGAAAACTCACGGGAAGTAATATCGGAGTTTCCGAGCAGTATCCAGAGGAGATTAATGCTATAAGGAAAAAATTGTACCCTGTGTACAAAGAAGCAAGGAGGAATAAGAAGAAAGAGACGCTGGTTCGTGACAGATTATTTATCGATGGCAAGGAATTTAAACTATGATGAACAGACATATTCAGAGTTGTATTTCATGCACTTGGACTTGGAATACCATTACATAATTATATCCTTTAAATTATTTAAATATTTTCTTTATTCCTATAACTAAATTTAACAATGTCTACAAAAACTACAATTAGCACAATTATTAATGATATTGATCCCATGCCTTTTATATCGTTATCCGACAATGAATTTTCTCAGGAATTTTCCTTAAGTAATCAAGAATGTCAAAAATTCAGAAATGGGTTCACGCATAGCGATATGGATAGACTAAGTCAATTGAAATTCGATCCCTTTAAAACTAATGATAATATAGCATTAAGCAGAAATAACACTAACCTAGACAACTCTCTTCAGATTAATAATATGAACTCTAACTACTATTTACCAAGTGAATTTAGAAAAAAAACAACAGAAATAAATATTAAAAGTAATTTTTCTCTTGTACATCTGAATATAAGAAGTATTACGAACAAGTTTGATCACTTTAACTCTTTTGCGGCCCAGCCCAAATCATTCATCCGCGAGAGGATGAATGATTGGATGTTCGTATCTTCGGTTCGGTGCATGCTATGAAGACAGAAATACCACCATTCGATTCAGAAATAAAAGATTCAACTAATTCGTCACTATAGCTATAGCCATTATTAATATTGTAGCGATTTATGGGCCTTTGAAGTCAAACACGATCATATTGTATCAAATTATGCAATTGTCTGAACAAAAATATAAACTTAGCCATACCTTTCGCCGAAAATAACTTCGGCCCCTTCGAACATATCGTCTTTGTAATAGTCTTGTTCGAATCCCCATCAAAAACACTATCTAGAGTGTTATTTGCAAGCCTGTATCTTCAAATCTGTATATTTTATCAATATATTTCCATTTCTTGTCCGACTGTGAGCTCGAAGTGAGTTAATCCCAACCGGAAGTACGACTGAAAACCGTCAAAACAATGCGACGTTTGTATCGTATGACCTTGCAAATTCCAGAAGTGGATTCTACAGGTCAAATTTGCCCTACACGTGTGAGTTTGACGTCATCCCAGCCACAGGAGCTTCTTATTGGCCAATTATTGCGCAATGTACGCAAGTGCGAGTAAAACCTGCATCTTGAAAAATTCAAAATAAATATTTCTACTCGCCGTATTCAAACGAAATTTTGTACACGAAAGCACTTGAATACAAAGAGTATTTTACACATATAGCCGCTCAGGCAATGACGAAAAGTTCAAGAGATATTCAAGATTATCTGGATATGAAATTCAGAATCTTTGGCCAAGCGGTGAGTAAATATGAGTGTTTCAGTTTGTGTAATGTTTTGATGGCATTTGACCCCCCGTTCGAAAGGTTATTTTGTGAGGATATCAATGGTGGCTTTTATTTAAAAGGGGGGTAAATACTCGCCGAGATATTTACAATAGAAAAATTAAGTCGTAATGTAATGCGAAACCGTATGGCCGTCAAAGAGTTAAAGAGCTACTTGATTCTTTAAACACCGAATTTAAAATTATAGGATTAAGCGAAACATGGCTTAACGATAATACTAATGACGCTGGTTTTGATCTACCGACATATAACTACGTTGGTACAAACAGAACAAATAAAAAAGGCGGAGGGGTTGGAATATATATTGCAAAACAACTAAAGTATAAAATTCGTAAAGACCTTAATACAAATATTGAAGAAACAATAGAATCAGTTTTATTGAGATAAGCATATCCGCAGGTAAGAACATAATAGTTGGAGTAATTTACAGACCACCAAACAACAAAATTGAAATATTTCAAAATGCATTAAACGAAATTATAGAAAAAATTGACAAAGAAAATAAAATCAGTTATTTCATGGGTGACTTTAACATTGATATGCTTAAATCAGAATCCTGTACTCACGCGAGTCGATTTACTGAACAATTTTTTACCTCCTCTTTTGTTCCTCTAATAACAAAGCCAACAAGAATAACTTCACATACTGCAACATTAATC